GAGAGAGAGAGAGAGAGAAACTTTGTGTGTGCGTGGGTGTATGTGTTTGTGTGCGTGCGAGCTCATTACTTTAAAAGTGTGTGGTGAACCAATGTGATATTGTTGTGTTTCACAGTAAATGTGTGGCCCTCCAGGACCCGTACTGTGCCTATAACAAGGACATGAAGGAGTGCATCAGTGCTGAACTTGGGTGAGTTGTCTGTCTACCTTATCCACCTCGTGAATGGAGAACCCTGATTGCCGAGGTCTGTTTCAGATCTGGCGTGTTATGATGATGATGATGATGATGATGATGATGAGGATGATGATGATGATGATGATGATGATGATGATGATGATGAAGATATCTAGACAGAGATATCTTTCGTCAGTCTTTCTACTATCGTGATCTGTTCCTAACAGGGTATAATAATATAGCTGTTGTTTTACTGATTTGTTGTAAACTTAGTACCCTACTATAGGTTAGCTGCCTAAATTGTCGTTTGTCTTTTCTGTAGTCATAATGTGAACGTGTGCAGGGTATTCTTTTCTTCTGTAGCACGGTTGGAGCTATATTATTGATGGAAGATCAGATAGTATCACCTAATAAAAGCCGTTTGTTCTAGAACAGTAAAACAGAAGGATTGAGGGCCTTCTTTTTCTATAGAAATAGAGTCATGACATTATCTATAAAAATGTTTCTAGTTTACAAAGTGTAAGATAGTGTTTCTAATCGTCATCCTTTGTCATTTCATTCTGTTTCAGTATTCAAAACATTGCAGATGGAAAGCATGAAAGTTGTGGGCCTGATGATGTTGGTGAGTTTGGCATTTTTCCTCCATTTATTTTTTATTTTTTTTTTTTTTTTTGGTGAGGTTTTAAGCCACTTTTCATCTAAATTCTATTTGTACACATTAAAAAAAAAAAATTACAGTTGTGTGGGTTTTTCATTATATTGTGTGATCATATTCACTCACTTAATGCATTTTTGCCTTGCTTATTGGCATTTTACTTTTTTTTTCTTCAAATTTACGTGCACTTGAAAATTGTCATTTAATATTTTCATTTTGCTCTGATTGACTCCAGTCAGCTTTCAGCGCGGAGAGTTTTTAATGCAGCTATTTGGTGACCATGGACTTTACATTAATTCCCGCAATGCCCTAGTATTTGCTTTCTAAAACTGTGTCTCGGTGCAGCGGAGACTATAATATCTGTGTAGTGGGACAATGTAATGTATGTATACGCCGTCCCAACGCTCAGTAACATGTTTGTTTGTGTGCCGTGTTACAGATAGGCTTCTTGAGACACGATTTGTTTGCAAGTTTGATTTTGGACAAATGTTAAACTTGATTCCGGCCGTAATATAATAAAATATATAGTTTAGCTTGGCGAACACAGTACGAAACTGAACATGTCAGTGGGTCATGGCATGACTACTAACTTCATGCGAAGGTGAATCTTAGTCCTTTGTTTTTTTATGTGTGTGTTTTTTCCTTAAAAATGCTCTCAGAGCTTCCATAACTGAAAAAAAAATTAGTAAAATAATAGTAATAAAAAATAATTTAAAAACCGACCATGTTCAGATAACAGCGCACCTTCCCAGATAGTGATATATATCTAGGTCACAGAAATCATAATATTTAGGTCGCTTGAGTTCCCGTGTAGATCAGAGACCCCTTCCCTTCCCACAGTCTTCCTTATAGTGTGGTTGGTCACGGAGGTTAACTCAAATGCAAAGGGTGG